ATATGTTTCAGACAAATCTTTACAAAAAAAAAAGGAACATTTGGGTGCTTCAGCAGCATTCACCGAGTAGAAAGTACCACTAGATAAATAGAGCATTTGCTTTGTTTTGTCTGATGCTCTTCTGTGTTCTCTAATAAATTGATTTTAACTAATCCATCTTCTGTTCAAATTTTTGGAAAAGCAGATATTATGACTTGGGGCAGCAAATTAAATGGCATCAACTGTACTGGATGATATAAAGCTGAGCTTCTTTACAAAAAAGCATAATCGTTGCCCGATGTCTGCAGTAATACCTAATACCCATCTGTTATTGTCCACAAACAGCTATTTTTAGGGCTCTTACTCAGAATGTGAAAAGCTCGCTGCATTTAAAACTCTACAGTATGTCTCCTTGCTGCGTTAAACATCAGAAATCATGTTTATGGAGGCAAGCTCTATATTTATAGTTTTGGTGTGTAGGAGTCTCACTTTAAAGGAAAAAGGAAACGAAGATTGCTCAGAGTTATCTTGTGCAGAACTTTGGCAAGAACATCCTCTATTCATGGAATAGCCTTCATTAAAAAGTCCCAGGGTGTTTTTAGCATTCAAAACCAGTTAAAAGCAGAATCAACCATTAATTTCTACAGTTTTAGTTTAAAGTAATTCCAGATTTCCACAAGAAGCTTCAAGCTAATTACTTATCAAATAAGCTGGCTACAGGCAACACATGGACTTTATTACACTGTCTATCAGCTGCACTACATAATATTTGATGCAAAATAGGGTGAAGTCAGTGGAAAACTTCACTGAGCTTCAGTGGGTTTTAGGTTGGGCCTCGGGAGTACAAGACGAGGGAAATGAAAAACGAACGTTTTAAACAGCACTGTAAATGACAAAGCACCATCAGCTTCTCCATCTTTGACTCGCTGTGCAGAGAATCGGATTTCGTGTTTTTCTTGACACTTTCTCTTTTTTAGTGTTTTCAGCCTGGCATATAATTAAAATATATACCGGAATTCTGTAACTTTCTATCGTAGTGGAATGTTAAGAACAAAACACAGAAAACAAATGCCAAGCGAAGAAGGAAGATTATGGGCTGTCTGTGAGAGGGAATGTTTGGGCTGGAGTGGGGGTACTAATGCAGTTTTGCCTTGTGACCAATTATGTTTAATATTTTTGCTAAACACACATTTGCTAAACACGTTGTGTGCAGGTATCTGCTGGTGATGCGTTAAGTGGCACCTAAGCACAGAGTGGGACGACAGGATTTGGGTGAACTAAAGCATTAGGAGGGGGGGACCAAAACGTGAGAACACCAAGCAAAGGGACAACCACATCATGAAGGCCGGGACCCCTGCCAAGAGAGGACCAGGAGGAGGGGGAAACCCCACGCCCGCTGCTCACAGAGAGCCCTCCTGAGCCAGCACATCGGCAGGGCCACGAACGCCAGCGCGCGGCTCCCCTGACAGCCCAGGTCAGGTATTTCCTGTGCGGAGCCGCAGGCCCGGGCCGAGGCCCCGGGGGCGGCCAGGGAGGCTCTGCCGCTGGGGCTGTCCCGCGGCGCCCCCGCGCCCCGCCAAGGCGAACGCAGGTGGCAAGAGGCGCTGCGGGAGAGCCGGGCGCCACCGCGGGACTGCCAAGACCCGAGGCCGGCGCCGGCACAAGTGCGGGCG